TTGTCCAGTCAGCTCGAAAACCTTGCCAGCTCAGAGTTACGAACCTGCACTTCGCCTAGAGCCATGAGGGGCGTATCCAGGTTGACAGATGTCCCTATTGGCTGCCAAGTGGCCATGTGATCTGCTTATTCCCGCCATTCTTACAAGAAAGGTTGAAAGGTGGGCACTGGGACACCCACTGGCAGTGAGACAGAAGAGAGGGCAGTTTTATTTCAAGAGTCGCTTCAGTCTAAAGCGTTTATTTTTGAGTGCCATCTCTGTTGCTTTTGGCACTCTTAGCACCAGATGCTACGTCGAGTGGCGCACTGCCTCAGTCAAAAAGCGCAGAAATGATGCTGGGGAAGTAACTTGCATGATGATCAAGCATCAAAGCAAATATGTACTGTAAGCCGCAGATAGTGTATGATTCTCCATCTGACACAGTGCTTTGAGAGAACACAAGCTGTTCACAGAGCCTGAGGTGGTCTCATTGGTTTTAGCCGCTGGTGAATTCAGCCTGGCATCGTCTTTCAAATCCTGCACAAGTGCTTTAGGTAAGTACGTCAGAGCATTAAAAGCAGCAACATCACAGAGAAGAAAGTGCTGGCAAGCTTCTAACTAGAGGACACCCAGCATGTGAAACTTCAAACAGGCAGGCCTCGCAGTTGGCCACCCTTTTCCTCCTCCTGCTAAATCCTAATGGATCAAATGATTGCTGATTGTTGCTCAGAAGGCTGGAGGGTTGCAACTGAACGTAGTGTACTTTCAAGGCTATTTGCAACTGTTGAAAAACGGGCTGGCTATTGAGGAAGATTGAATGTCTGAGGGGTGTTCCTGCCTAGTACCCTGCAGCAAATACCGATGTGCAGACAGCTTGTGAGCTGTCACAACAGGTCCTTACGTTTCTTGGGCAGCTTTTGTTGTCCTGTTCAAAGCAAATCAGACGAGTCTTTGGCGTATTCGATGTTGCATGTTGAGGGCATGATGGTTTCAGCTCAAGTTTTGCTCTTGTTTCAAAGCAGAAGATTGTCTAAGTTGATGTGCTGAAGAACAACGGAAACTGTGCCGCTGCGCGGCAATACACCTCTGCCAGTGCGGTAGCACCCATTGCCGATTGCTAAATAATTTGTTTTCTCTCGCTCGATCCAGAGGTGATCATTCATCAGCGCCAGTCATCAGCCAAGCAATTGCACGGGCGCGCGCAGCCTCTCAAGTGCAAGCAGCACCAATCTGCGTGCTTGTCTCAGCACATCGTTATAACTTCAGGTATGCCTTGGGCCCAAGTATACGTGTCTTGTCAATGAAGAAGGCTGGCTTCATTTTGGGTGATTCTGGCGACTAGCTTGAGCGGCATGATTTGCTTGCGCGTGTTTGTAGATGACTTGTTGCACTCAATACAGAAGGGTTGAAACTGTACAGTAGCATGCTGGTGATAATATAAAAGTGGTGCCTCGAGATGCAAAAAGTAGTCACACTCTGCCTCTTTAAGCATAGTTGCCTTCACTCAGGCCCGCACCTTTTTGAGATCAGCGTGCACTCTCTGGGTAGTGTTTAAAGCAACAAGAGGTTAGGCACAACTCGCTCATATCAAGGATTATTCAAGCAAGCGATGATGGCACGAGGGCGCTTCTGCAAACATGCAGCGTTGACTGTCAGAATGATGTTTTCCAGGGTAGCTAAATCATATCTGTATGGGATGAGAAAAGCGGTTGTATCTCCCTCCATGGTCGTTCTATAATGATGAAAAGCTGGAAGCAACTTGTTGAGGACCCGATAGATCAGGTTCCAGCTTGGGGTTACTTGCTTTTATGCTCTGAGCTGCTTAAAGGCAGCACCGGTTCGAGTCACTTGGGTAAAACTCACCTCTTCAAGCTCATAGCTTCCGGTCAGGCCCGCAACTCTCTAAGTTTTTTGTGCTCTCTGTGTTCCAAAGAAACAAGAGATCGAGGACACCTGGTCCACATCAAGGATTGTTCAAGCACGTGGTTTGACACAGGGCGCTGCTTGCGGCGTTGAGCGTCAAAAAGGCTGTTTTTGCTGCATACCAGATCAGATTTGTCAGGGGATCATAAAAGCAGTTGTGTCTGCTGGAGTTGTGTCTGCTGGGCCTGGGCATTAATCAGATGAAAAAGCTGAAAGTTGCTTAAAGGGAGCGCAGTTTTTCAGATTTTTTACGCCTCAGTATTTTGCTCTCACGTCATTGGCAATTTCCTGAGTCACTTCTTTGTACTCAAAGACTGTGTGGTTTGAGGAAATACAATGTCAAATGCTTGGAGGACTTAGAAATAGCATAGCCCACATGTCTATTGCTAAAGTAGTGCCAGACATTGCAGTTGTCACTGAAGTCAATTCCTCATTTTTGTTGAATGCCTTCCATTACTTCGCTGTGCAGCAGTGAAGGCCTTCTAGCATATGGCGAGGACTCGCCCCCATGGAAGGACCAAGTCCGATCACCGGGTTTGTCAGGAGGCACGACAGGCGCGCGCCGCCGACTACAGAAACCGTATCAATATCAGCGCTGAGAAGCAGGAGGCTCTCATCGCTGCTGTCAATGCGCGGTGCGAAGCTGAACCCGCCCCCCGCCAGAGGCGGGACCAACAGTCCAAGGAGGCGCCAACTTCTCGTGGATTCTTGCCACGTCCGTCCCCGCAGCTCACCTGCAAGGGCAAGAAAGTTTGCACAGCGGCAGCTCGCCCGATCACTTGGTGAACCTACAGTAAAAGGTGAGAAGCCAGCGCCTCCGAGCTAAGTCACTTGCCTCCACTTCCCCTCAAGCTTGCTCAAGCAGCTTTGATACCTGAACTCCATGCCGTCTTTGACAATGTGCCTAAGGAACGGCCAGTAGCCTGGGTACGCTGCAACGCTGCATAGTCCCTAGGATGGAAGCTTGCGCGAGTGATTTCGAGCTTGATCATGTTGCAGCGCAATATGGCAGCGCTGCTGTCAAGGTTGCTCCGTCCCTGGCTGCCCTCTTTTGATGGGTCAGAGTTCAGAGCAGCTTGAGGCTTAATTACTTCTTGTAAAACACAAGTTGTGCACCTGCTTTTGACTGGTACTCTCTGTACCCTTCCAGATCCGCATTGCCTCCACTGCCACGAGTGCGGCACCATCGCGGAGTTTGGGCTTCGCGGAAGCAAGGAGGGTGGAGAAGTGAGATACTTCTGCAGTGCGCACGCTTCCAATGGCTGCTTCTGCATCGACAAAGACCGCGCAGGTGAGAGGTTTGGGAGGCCTTGCAGCGACTCTGAAGTGCATGAGTAGTCTTGGGTCTAACCCAAGGTTTCAACCACGCACGCTCGTCATCACACAGGATCTCATATCAGTGCTTCCGCTTTTTGCAGTCTCGGTACAACATCGAGCGCAGCGCCGTTTGAAAGCGAAGCTTGTGCGACTGGAAGAGGAGCTGCAGCAGATGGACGAGGCCAGCTCTTCTGCAGAACCTGCAAAACCAACTTGCTGCCTGCCAGGTGAAATATTGAAATATTCTGATCATCCAAAATGGCGGCTCGTTGTTCCTTGCTAACGGCTTAAAGCTGAGCTCGGGGGGTTATCTCCTGTTGTTGACGGCTTGAACTTCTGGTAGAGAGTGTCAAAGTTGTCCAAGCTCTAATGTAAAGTTTTCTGCCGTTCGAGATGCTGACGTCATTTGAACCTTGTAGCTGATAGCGTAAGGCTCGGGCAGGGCCTGTCCGAGTTGTCCAGACTGTCCAAGCTCTGGAGTGAAGTTTTCTGCCATTCGGATTGGTGACGTCATCGATCCTTGTAGCTGATAGCGTAAAACTCGGGCAGGGCCTGTCCGAGTTGTCCAAACTGTCTAAGCTCTGGCGTAAAAAATTTCTGTTATCGAATCGCTGACGTCATCGATCCTGGTAGCTGATCATAGCATAAAACTCGGGCAGGGCCTGTCCGAGTTGTCCAAGCTGTCCAAGCTCTGGCGTAAAAGTTTCCTGTCATCGAATCGCTGACGTCATTTGAACCTCGTAGCTGATAGCTTGAGGCTCGGGCAGGGTCTGTCCAAAGTGTCCAAGCTCTGGCGCAAAGGATTTCTGTCGTTCGACTGGCTGACATCATCAATAACTTGTAGCCTGTAGCTGATTGCGTCGTCCGTTGCATTGCAGATTGGGATGAGGCGAACTTCAAAGTGGCGCTGCCCTCCACGAAGCCCATAAGCCGTTTGCTGCTAAGTAAGGCGCTCAAAGGCCCTACGAATACAGTCGTGGCACGTTCTCTCAGCAGTGCCTGCTCTTTCCGTCTACCAGTGAAGCCCTTTGGCCAGCTTGATCTTACAATTCCGAATTGTTTTGAGGGATCGAGCTTTGCAGTGTGCCCTAACCGTCGCCTTTTCAACGTATGCAGAAATACTCTTGATGATTGGTTGCGTCGAGAGCAACCCGGGGCCCTCGTCAGACGGGATGGACAGCTCGGATTCAGCCTCAGCCTTGGTCCCGCCTTTGTCGCAAATGCGCCAGAGTGCTGGGACGCCTATGGAGAGCCGGGGAGGAGATTCGAGTACGGAGAACTCGGGAATGGAGGTGAAACCTTTCTTGCATCTCGTATGGCGCTCTTCACAATGAGGATTCGTATGCAGTTGAAAGAGCAAGGCACTTCAGGCCAGAGCTCGGGCCTTCTCAGGCACCCTACCGAAGGTCAAACCATTGGCTATGGAAATGATGACGTCATGAGATCAATGTTCGAAAAGTTTTAGGCAGAAGCTTGGACAGCTTGGACGCGCATGTAATCGGCTTAGGAAGAACCGTGATGACGCCAAGTCTTGAAGCAGAAAGTATCAACTTAGACTCTTGCACGGGCTGGAGGATTTCTGAACGTTCTGAGTCGGCAGTTGAAGTAGCAGCTGTATATGTTCCAATGCTGACGTGGACCATCGATAGTCGGGCTGCCTTCAGCCCGTCTTCTTGCAAAAGAGGACCAACAAGTCGCTTGATTCCCCGGCCAATCTCAGCGCTTGCATTTGTGGGGGCTGTTATATGCGGATTTGCTCTAATGATAGCTCGTCTCTGTGGCTTTTGAGCATGCGCTTTTTATACGGTTTCCAGCCTAATTCACGCAAGGTCGACCTTTGTACATACAACCTTCCACTCATTTCTAATTGGGCGCTTGTGGTCCGTTTGTGGTAGAGAAAGGGCTTCTAAAATCTCGATCGAAATGTGCGGCCGAACTGCTTTGGTCGATCTGAAGACAAGTTTTTTTTTTTTCCCCGGATCTCTTGCAACTTCAGGCGTTGCTCGATCTAATCAATTTTTCTTCTTTCTCTCTTGACAGGAGAGTGGCGGTCCGAGCATTGAAGCAGACTCCCAGGGAGAGGACATCGAGGACGTGGAATTCAACCGCGAGGAAGAGTCTTCCGACGAAGAGACCTCGCAGGACCGCCAGTTGTTGGATGATTCATCGCAACCTCCCATTGCCCCAGTCTGGGAGTACGCTCGGATGGACGCGGAGCTTGGGCTGTCGGACACGGAGTCGGAAATACGGTTCTATGGGGGGCGCAAGCGAGCCAAGCGCGTAGAGAGCGATCAGAGCGCAGAGTCGCAACCACGTGGAAGGGGCCGTCGTCGGGTAATCATGTCGTCTTCATCGGAAGCGGAAGCGGAAGCGGAAGCCAACGAGTCGGGCTCCGAGGGGGGGGGACAGTCTGCTACGTCGAGCGGGTGGGGCGAGCTTCGTAATGACGACGACCCTACACGGGACTGGGACGATGAGCGTGAATTTGAGGAGATGCGCGAGTACTTCGGCGTCTGCCGCATTGACCCTTGTTCAGAGCGGGATCGCGGGGAGTCCCTTGCGTCCCAGGTGTGCCGACTTCCTGTACTTGAATGTCCTTCTGAGGCCTGAGCAATTCGTTCCAAAGTGTACAGTCATCAACATTCGCAATCCTTCCTGGTGTAGAGTCCATTTACATTTTTCGGACAATCACGACATTATCTGAGGATGTACACGGATTGAGGAAACGTGAACACGCGGAACCAACATCGATGTGTCTCCTGTTGGATCTTGCCCCGTTCGTTCTCCTAGTTTCTTTTCATGTTGGATGAACTGAAGTGGGTCTCGAGCGAGAAGGATTGACTTCGGTTTCTCTTCTTCTCACGTAATCAACTTTGGAACTTGTGCAGGCGGTGTTCCAGCACGGACAATCGATGGCTCCCGTCGCACTCACAAGGGCCGCCGCAGCCGGGCCCTCCGTCCAAGATGCGTTCATGCCTGCCCCTTCAATAGCGGCCACGTCAGCAGTTCCTACCCGCGCTACCTCCCGTGTCGTAGTACGGGAGACGACGCCCTCTTCTCAGGTAGGCTCCAGTTTGACTATTTTCGTTATTTGGAGCTTGAAGCTGGTGCTTAGTTTTTTTAGCACTTGGCCGTCAATCCAGGTGCGAGAAGTTGTGTGAACTTATCCTTTATTGCTACTTGGTGACAACTACTCAACGGGCTTGGCCGGAATCAGCTGCCGACGTCATTGCACAGGCTTCCTAAAGACTCACTGCCAAACTTGGATAGAAACGCCTTTTGCAAGTGGGCTTGTCAGTCTGGACTCGCTGGTCTGGGCTTGATGGTCCGTTCAATTGTCCAAGGTTTGGTCCATTGTCCTGTGGCGAATCTTGCTGACGTCATCGCATCGGTTCCTGGGAGACTTGTCTGCAAAGTTCGGACATCTGGACGGCTCAGGTATCCGCCGGACATTTTTGATGGGCTTGCTTTGGGAGTATGGACGTCCGCTGATGAGCTGTCCAAGTGTCCAAGGTTTTGTCAAAGTATTCGTGGCTGCGATTTGCTGACGTCATCGCACCGGCTCAAGAATATTTGTTTGTGGAGCTCGGGTGACTTGGACAGGCCAGGCATCCGCCATTTCCGAATGGTGCCTCCCTGGCTTCTGGAAGTTTGGGTGCTTGATGGCTGTCCAGGTGTCCGAGGTTTTCCCAAAGTGATTTGCGGCTACATTCTGGTTGACGCCATCATGATTTCAATGCTGCGGGGTACACTTCAAGTGCAGGCACTCGGATGGTCTTGAAAGGGTCTGTAGTATGCAGATTGGTCGGCAGTCGACTTGAAAAATCTTTCTTCTCTCTGCAGGGACCAAGCCGGGCTGTTGAGGCTTCTGCGCAAGTGCAAACCGGGTCGCCATCACAAGTGGACCCCATCCTGGCTGCAGCCCATTACTTCCACGGGCTCGGCATCGTGACCATTACTCACGATCTTAAGGAGATTGATGACAAGGGCAAAATCCGGAAGGTCCCCTGTCGCTGGCCCACCGAAAAGTCTTGGAAGCAGGCGAACCTCAGTAACTGCCTCCAGGAGTTTGCCAAGCCGGGGCGCAACTCCATCGCCATCGTCACAGAGCGGTCGGACATCTACGCGGTCGACGTGGACGTGAAGGACGGGGGCTTTGATGCACTCGAGCAGATGGTCGACGAGCACGACAACTTCCCGGAGGACACGCCCCGCCAAACCACTGGCAACGGGGGCATGCACGTTCTCTTCTCCCTATCTCAGTCTCAGGAGGCTGGTCTGCTCAACTGCAGTAACAGGTCCCGAATTCGGTACAAGGGCAAAGAGGTGGGTATCGACGTCCGCGGGAAGGGGGGGATGCTGTACTCTGCACCCAGCAGCTACACGGGTCTCGATGGCACGCTCCGGCGCTACGAGTGGGACCACGAGATTCTACCCGACCGCTCCAATCTCAGAGCCGTTCCAGACTGGCTCATCTCCATCCTGAACGCCAGCGGTGAAGCTCCAACCGGAGGTGGGGAGGTGCCTCGGGATAGGGACAGGGCCCGGTACGTTTTTTTGGTCGCCTCAATGCTTCATTTGCCTTGTTGTCTAGGTTCATTTTGTGCTGCATTTGGCAAGATGGAGGCCTGGTATATGTAGTGTTGTCATCAGTACTTTGTTTGATATTTGGAGAATGTAAGGCAAACGGTTCGGGACAGATTGGGGCGTTCAGTTCAAACGCGTTTCAGATTTGTGTGGCTGGCCGTGCATGTCTCAACTGTCCAAGCTTTTGCGCAACCTCACTCGATTTGAAGAAATTGACGTCAGCAATGTATATACAGCTGCGTTCATCTGATCTTTCCACCTTTCTACCTTTCCAAGTGTCAGCCAAAAACGGTGGATGTTACTAGAGCTGCTGAGAATACCTCTATAATTGGTCCAGTCCTCTGCTTGCTCGCTTCCACAAGAATGTGCTGCCTGATTGCAGTTGTTAAACGTTTCCAGTGCCCTTGTGTCTCTCGTTGTTTGCTCACGAAGTCTACTTCTGGTGTTCTTTTGAAGACACTACCAGCTTTCTTTTCTTTGGCTTTGACACACTTGTCTATTTATTCCCTGCAGCGAGTCACAGGCTGTACCTTTTGGACCTCCCCCGGCAGCGGTCCTGGAGCGCGTCAAGGCCTGCGTGGTGGCCACTGGTGACGACGCCTCCCGCTTCGATCGCCTCAAGGTGGGCGGCAACGGGCCCATGTACGTCTTTCGAGTGGACGGGCCCCGACGCTGCCCAAACGGCAATCACCACGACGGCTTCAACAACTTCAGCGTGCTGGTGCGCGGCAGGGCCCTGCTCTATTGCTGCAACAGTTCAGAGTGTGTGGGGGTCCGCCCCTTGCCAAAGATTCGGAGAGCTCACGCGCTCCGAGGCCATGATCGGAGGCGAGCTCCGTGCCTTCCGAGCTGATGACGTCAGCGCGATTGACAACCTGCACAAGGGCTTCGTGGACAATTGGGCCTTTGAGGGAGACGTAGGTGGCAGTAAGATCGTTGCTGAGATGTACGCAAGCTGCGGCAGGTGGGTGCAATGTTGACTGGAGCTGTTCATAAGACACATGCATTCGTTTCAGCAAACGTCTAAAGGAGCTTTCAGATCGTCTGTAGCTTTGGGCCGGATGTTTGTTGAAAGCTGCGATTGAGAGAGCCTCTAGAGTCTTGGCAGTCTGTCCAAGTATCCAAGGTTTGCCGTATGATTTCGATAGGTTGATATTGCTGACGTCATCATACGAGATCTGCTCGATTCTCTCGCAGAAGCTTGGACATTTGGACAGCCAACCCGGCTTGATCGTCTGTCCAAGTGTCCAAGATCTGATATGACCTTTTGATGATCTAATGGGTGATGATCTGATTTCTGAGTATTTGCCCCAAGTACAGACAGTACAGCAAGCAACTGCACATTCGTTTTGCAATCAAATACTCCACCGAGCACCTGAAGCTCACTCCACCACCATGGAGTGGACTGTGCTTTCTCTCCAATTTGCTGGATTGTACGGCAGCGACCGAACCTAACGGAATACTCCAAATAGCGTACCTTACCATCGTGCTTCAGTTTCTCGAGAGCCTTTTTGCTGCAGTCTGAACCGCTTGGGCACTGATAAATGCAGGTTAATCAGGCTTTCCACGGAAGTTGATTGGGAATCGTAAAGCAGAGTCACTTGATCGGGATGACAGCACTTAGAGCTCTGGACGCACTTCTGAAGCAACGTGACTCCACCAAGTTGTGCAGGCCAGCACTGAAATTTTCCTACCCGCCCTTTTGCAGGCTGTGGTTCGATGGAGAAACCTGGTGGTACTGGGATGGGCGGCGCTTCGTACAAGATGGGAAGGGCGATTTCATGGTGAAGAACGTTCTTATCAATCAGCTCAGGATTGTCTACGAGCGAGTTAGAGACGAGTGGAACGCAGCTATCGAGGTGACCATTGACGAGAAGGAGCAGAAGGCGTTATTGCAGCAGCTTAAGCGCCTGCGAACGTACAACAACGTCCGAGAGATGTCCAGTACGCTCGAGCTTCTCCGGGGGGAGTTGTTTGCTAAAGACCTTGCCCATCAGCTGGACGCAAACCCAGACATCCTGAACGTCAAGAATGGAGTGCTCCTTTTGAGGACTGGCGAGCTCGATCTGCACAGGCCCCAGTACTTGTGCTCCAAGATTGCGGAGACGGACTTCATGGTGAGCCCCTCATGCTGCTTCCAAAAGAATAGAGCAACTTCGTTGGCTCTAGAGCTAGCACGTTATGACGTCTGGGGGGTCCTTGAAAGATTCGACATGATGCACGTTCTTGTCGTTCTCTCACTGTTCACGAAGACCCGAGCAAGCCATTGGCACGCATGC